TTACTCTGCCCAATTTTTGCGAAGACTTAAAACACTTGAAGTTTGGTTCTCTCAAGAAGTCTAGTATCTTTGCTTGCTTGGTTTCAATCCGAAGAATGGGATTTCTATATTGACTCATAATGTCAAGTATTGGCTTCTTGTTGGTTAGATGGTTCTTATCCCTAGCTTTTACCTTATGCTTTAGGATAGCCTCTTCTTCTCCTCCCATCTTCTTTAATTTCAAAAATCTTCTCCCTCCTTTAAAAACAAACTCTTCTTGTTTTGAAACTTGAAACATTTTCATAATAAACTTGGACTTAGGTCCATGCATCTTCGAAACATTTTCATAAATAAATTTAAATCAATTTAATAATACCTTGACTTTTTTTTGTGAGAAGACTAAAAGTCAATCAATCTCATTTCAAACCATTTTTCCACTTTGGCTTTTATCTTTAAACTTTTCTCAAAAGATTAGACTCTTGTCAATCCTTGTAGTGATGCAAACAACTATACTTCTACAATATGTAGTGAAGTGAGATATTTTCCACTTGGGTGTTGAGTGAGGCATTGTTGATTTTAAAATCCAAGCCATATCCTCCACTTTGAGATGATGCAAATTCTCCTTTCTCATGATTGTGGGTAGTAAGTATATTTTTCACACGGACAATTGCGATGATGTCTTATCTCATAAAATAAACCAACACACTTGTGTTTCAAATTTTTAAAAGAGGGACTACGTGTACCCTGATCCCCTATTGCACGAAAGGTGTTACGTAGGTACTAAAGGTTCACAACCGCGGCGGGTGCAAAAATCATAAAAATATTTCTTTTCTCACCTCCACCATCCATTTTATATACAACACATTTTTATAGCCAAAATATACAGATTTTTCAAAGAGGTTCCTGCGGAGTACCGTAGATGTTTAGGGTGCTAATACCTTCCCTTTGAATAACCAACCCCCTTACCTTGAATCTTTCCCCCTCTTTTTGGGTTATTCTCTCTTTTCCCATTCCTTTGGAAACAATAAAGCGCGGTGGCGATTTTTTATTTTGATTTGTATAAAGTCTAGTCAATATAATAGCTTAGTCTTGCACATTTCTACCCCTACAAACGCATATACAAAATACAAAACTAAGGTGCTTGGAGATTCCTCAAGAGCAAACTTAAATATATGAGATAGAAAAAAGTGGAAGAACCAACCCTAATGTGATTTTGTTACGATCAAGTTGACATGATATGATAGGGGAATCTTAGGGGCAAAAATTGGGGTACAACAGTGCAATTGTTGTTGTTTTGTTCAGTTGCCATAGTGTTTTCCTTCTGGATCTTTTTCTAACACTGTTAGGTGTGTGCACCCAGAACTAGAGCTCTGATGCCAATTGAAGGGTGAAAAAACACTTAGAATGGGAAGGGGGTGGGGGGGGGGGGGGGTTGAATAAGTTTTTCCTTTTTCTCGTGCAAAAATAATGGAAGGACACAAATAATTTTATCCTGGTTCGTTTGAAACTCAAACTACTCCAGTCCACCCGCCAAGGTGATTTTTCCTCTCTCAACGAGGACTTAATCCACTATAATCAAAACTGATTACAAATGCACAACCAAACTATTGTGACTAACAATACAATGCACAAGCCAACTGCAAGTGACTAACACCTCTAAGACTCAACTAGTCCTAGCCCTCTTGAGAAATCTGACCCAACTAGTCTCTCAAGGAACAATTACAAAGATTATATCTTAAAAGTAGTGAATCAGAATGCTTCCAATAAGCTATATCACAAACTGTGATTTATCACTAAGATTTTAGCCCAACACTTAAGAATTACCCACTATGTACAAAGATTTTACAAGAATGAAAATAGTGAGATTCAGTATATTTTGCATGGATCAATAACATTGCTTTGAAGAGAGAGTATGCATTAATGATGCGTGTTAGCTTGACCTTTATGTTTCCAATTCTCTCGTGCATAGTACCACTTGAGTGCGTTAGCCGTCTTAGCATTAAATGATCAACGGTACTGTCTGAGCTTGTCTCTGGAAGTTTAAGAGTTTGCTTGCAGTATTACAACATCAGAGTTTGCTATATCACTTCTTCAGTCAGAGTTTTCTTTATTTTATGTTCATCAGATTTTTCTTCAGCTTGCATTATCAGATATTGCTTTTAGTGTGCTTCTTTCAAATCCTTGCTTCAGCTAGCTTTATCAGAGGTTGCTTAAGATTACTTTCTATCAGAGTTTTCCTATGAGTGCTTCCTTCAGAGTTTGCTTCAGACTTGCGTTTACATAAAATTTCTTAGGAACTTCTTTATCCTTTTTCTGCTTAGCGTAGAATGATGTTTCACTTTCGAGAATGCTTGAGTCAGAACATCATATGAATTAGAAAACATGCACACAAGAGTATAAAATATATTATACAAAATTTATTTCATTGTTATCATCAAAAATCTAAGATATGATTAGAACCAAACTTTGTTCTAACAAGGAGACAGATTCAAATGGTATAAGAATAGTGATGGTGAATACTCTATGGGCTCAAGTTATGCAATGTTCTCCTGCAACAACAACAACATACCACCCCAAAACTCAAATATTTTGGCAACAATGGCACTAGTGTGGAATACAATGGTTCCATAAAAATACAATTTTTTGGCTGGAGGTGCGTCAGAGAGAGGTTAGCTACAAGAGAAAAATTGGCTAGGAGGGATATTTTAACTGATATTAAAGACAAGGTTTGTGTCTTTTGTCTCGTGGCCAAAGAATCCTTAGGCCATATCCACATACGATGTCCATTTTCAAGGTTAATATGACAAAGAGTGACAGTTTGGTTAGGTGTGGTGTTGAATAATGCTGCTGTTGTGGTGGAGCATCTGTTAAGCTTTGATAATGTGTTGAGTGGTGTTGTGATTTCAAGAAAAAAGATGTTTGTATGGTTGGAAACAGGGAGGAAAATATGGTGCATGAGGAATGAGATTCTTTTCAAAGAGGAAGTTTTCCTTGTAGGGGAGGTAGTGCACAAGGCAATATTACTTTTGTGGCTTTGGAACGTTATACGTTCAACATTCAAAGTTAGTTGTAATTTTTATTTGTGGAGTCATTGTCGTGTTGAATTTCTTAATTCTTCCTGACGTAATGTTTAATGTTTAATGAATTTCATTACCTATAAAAAATAGAAAACCCCTTTTATTCATTTAATTAATTAAAAATATTTTGATTAATTAATTTTATTAATTAGTTTTTAATTATCTTAGTTAATTAATTAAGTTTACTTAACTAATTAATTTTGGTAGATTGATCTCTTAAGTAATTTGATTAATTAGTTAATTATATTTTAATTAATTAAGTAAGTAAATAATTTTACAATAAAATCAATCTTTTCAAAATCAAAACACTTGATCAAAATCAAGGTGCTTTTTTTAAAAGCCCTTCACGCTCATTCACTTTTCCAAATAAAATCAAAGCAGTTTCATAAATAAAACAAATAGTCTTTTTCATTTAAACTTTATCAAGTCATTTTCAAAACAAACGCTAATAAAACTTTGGTCAACACCAAGTCCCTTTTCAACCCTCAAATTTAACCAAACCATTTTCAAAAAGTCAAAACCTAAGTCAACACCAAGTTTCTTTTCAAAATCAAAATCCATCAAAAAACCTTTCACCCAAGAGATGACTTTTTCAACACTCATTTGTATTGATTCTCTCTTCCAACACTCATCTGTGTTGATCATTTTACTCGTATGCAAACCTAAACCAACCTAGCATAGTACCTAGAATTATGTATGTCTTGAGTTCGTCATTGTACCGGAGGATACATAGGAGTGAGATCTAATGTCTCATCAAATAACCTTTTTCAATAGACTGTTGGCAACCTTTTAAATCCAAAAAATAATCTTTCGCCCAAGTGCGAGCCTTTTTTCACCTTTAGCCCAAGTGCGAGTTTTCTTCATCTTTCGTCCAAGTGTGAGTCATCTTACATTTTTTCCCAAGTGCGAGTCTTTTTTCAAACACCTTTTATCACTCAAACGCGAACCATGTTTACCCTTTCTCTAACACTCGTATGTGTTGGTCTAGACACTCGTTCGTGTTGCTCAAACTAAAATTCATTTAAGTTCACCAAGAACTACATAAGTTCTAACTTTCCCATTGCACTCGAGAATATGTAGGCACAAATTTTCGAAATCTTGTCAAGCCCAATAATTAAAAACCAAAAAAAAATTTCTTTCTTTCTCTTTTTTATCGCATAATAATTAGGACGCAAGTAGACATCACACTAACATTTGATCACGAAACTAACTAAATATGTATCGTTGAGTATAACACATGTGCGGGGTTCTAATATCTTCCCCTAGCATAAACAACTCATGAACCCTAATTTGGTTGTGATGACCATTTTATCCTTTCTTTTGTGGGTTTTCTCGATATTTTCCTGTTCCTTTGGAATAAATAAAATTCGGTGGCGACTCTGTTATATTTCGAGCGTACGATACGCTCGAGTATTTTTTTGCGCCACGACACATCGAATATCCCTTCCCTATATTTGATTGGTGTTATGTGCTTGATAATTGGTTCAAATTGAAGGTTTTTAGGTTATGTTTTTTTTGGTTTTCTGTAGTTTCGACTAAGAACTACATAGCTTTAAGTTCCCCATCGCACCTAGGGATATATAGGAGCGAGATTCAACATCTCGTCAAACACCCTAATAAAAAAAATTATTCCTTTCTTTATTTTTCACCACATGTCTTTATAATTAGAAGAAAACAAATAAGATTACTCTAACACTCTATTCACAAAACTAACTAAATAGTCCCCTTTAAGAAAATAGATGTGAGGGGTGCTAATAATTTCACCTTGCATAATAGACTCCCGAACCCGAGTTTGGTTGCAACGACCATATTTTTGTTATTTTAGGGTTTTATCGACATTTTTCTCTTACTTTTGGAAGAAATAAACTTCGGCGGCGACTCCATTATTATTTTGAAAGTTTGTTATGCTCGGATATCTTTCGCACCGCGAAAGCAGCCAACATCATGGTTGACTGCCTTTCTGGTTGGTCTGTCCTTCTGATAGACTTAGGAAAAAGGATATGCAACATCTTTGAATGGTGTTTGGGAACCTTTTATGAGTGTTTATTCACCATTGTAAATCTACGACCGCCTCTATCTGTATTTGAGGTGGAAGTGTTAATGTACTTGAAAGTTTCCCCCGCTTAGCTTTAATTGAACTTCTGGGCTTATAAAAAGGTGTTCCAATTTATGGACGAGCATAGGTCTTTGAAACCTTATCCTCGACTATTTTTCAACTTGTTTCAAATTATACACACCTCTTAGAATGACATCCAGGACATGGGCTTATTGAGCTCCGTTAGCCTATTCCCTTCTCCAGCCCTTTTAATAAGGACGAGGGCGGTTTCCTAGGGCGCTTCGTGTTGGTGAAGGCGTGTACTTAAAAGGACCACTTTTCCTTCTGCTCTATCCCTGCCAAATCTTCTCCTTATTATAAGAGCAAATTTCAAAAATACTGATCTTGTCCCTATTTTTTCTCTGACCCTCATTCTTACAACATCAAATTGGACTTCCTATATGTTGAAGAAGTTATGATGAAGAGAGATTTGGAGTCTCTATATCAGAGGCTTGGCTAAGAGGAAGGTTTTCTCCCCGACAAAGAATCATCGTCCCACCAATGAAAAATCCATTGACACTCGTGCCATTATTAGTATGGTCGGTCGCATAGAGAGGAAAGAGATATTTGGTGAGGATGAAGTCCTTAGATATTTTTAATTTACTTATTTATACTTGCAGATAAAAAAGAATCTTTGCAGAAAGTTTACACCATTTCTACTTCTCAAGGTGTCAACTTTAGTCCCCTAGTTCAGGAAAATCCTCCTCCTTTTGTAACTCATGTCGCATCCTTTATTGTTGAGGCTACTTCACCTACTACTAGAGCTGATCAACTTGCTCCTATTACTGCAATTATAACTATTGAGGATCAGACAAGATCCTCTTTTGCTCCAACGAAGAGAGATTGGGATCAGGACCAAAGTACCACTTTCAAGGAAGATTCCCCTAAATGGTCTCGTCTTTCCAAGGATAACGCTTCGGGATCAACTACTCCTCTTCTCATAGTACTTGCAATCATCCATGCTTGGATTCCCCATACTCTTGAGAATGTTGTTGCTTCTATGTCTGAAGAGGATCTGACCTACCTCCAAAAATTCTTGAGACGGATAAGATAGAGATATTTTATGAGGCCACCTACTACACCTAACGGGAGGCCTTTCTATTTTTCTTAGCTTTTGTTGGTTGCAATGACATCTTTGCCATGGGTAATCCTTCCAAGGATAAGGATACTCTTGGAAGGGAAAATGTTAAGCTATAGAGCAAAAGTTCTCTAAGTTTCAAGAGGAGACAACTACTATCTAGGAAAAGGTTCTTTGTAATGTGGCTTTTTCCAAAAGAGGCAAAGGTCCACGACTCTTCATCCATTTTGGCTGTCTAAATCAGTGAACTAGAGCCTTCATGTAAGTTTGGAGTGCGTCTAAGAGGGAGGGTGGATTAGGTACTTTAAGATTCTAGTTTTCAGACACAAGTTGTTCTTATTTTCCTGGTTTGGTGCAAGAGTTAAAAAGTAATAAAGTGCAGAAAAAGTAAAGAACATAAGGATGTATCCTAGTTCCCTTTACAATTCGAAGGTACGTCTAGTCCCCTTTCAACACAAAAGAGATTTTATTATTGTTAGATCTCTATACAAGACAACCTAGCCTTTTTATCCAGGACTCTAACCAATAACTAAGCCAACAACACCTTAAACCAACCAAGTTTAAATGAGAACAATCCTCTCAAAATCAACTATCTTGCTTTTGATGCGTGATTTTCGCAAGTATACGAATCGCGTCAGAGTAATATAAAATATTATCGATCCCACAGAGACCAAAACATCAATCTATCAAATTAAATTGTGACTATGTTTATCTAAGGTAGGTCAAATCAGGGTTTTATAGTAGGCAAAGTAAATAAAGTAAAAGATGTTAATTCAGATAAAAGTAACGGGTTTGAATGCAAATTACAATAGTTAGATAATACTCTAAAATGCTTCTAATTGAACTACTTATGGGGAAATATTTCCTAGTTTGAAAAGAACTAATTTAATAGGAATTGTCGCTTTCACATGTTCAGAACCGAGTTTATTCTTTAAATAATGCCTTTTTATTGTCACTGATAAAAGGTGCATATTGCGTTAAAGTAATAAACCTATTTTTAAGAAATATAGTTACTTGACTAATTTGAAAAGTGATTTTGACTCAGAACTTCTAACCAAGAGATGATTAGACTTTTAAACCTATAAACGCATCCGAAAAAGGTTTTGAAATCATTTCTTCTAAAAAGTTAAAGGTTCTTACTTAATTGAACAAAACGCTTTCGCTCTCTTTGAGCAATTAAGACTAACCAAGTTTATCAATGGTTGAACGACTTTCGATCTTACCCAACAGAAAATAAAGTGCAGAAAATATGTGTTAAAAACCAAAACAGCCCCTAAAGTAATCCTATAGATGCAATGTTTAGACAGTTACCTTAACCATAATCATTACATTTTCACCCTAAAGGAAATTAGCCAGACTTGAAAATAAACTTATTAAGCAAATCATGTTTAAGCAGAAAGTAAAAAGGTTAAAAGATAAGTAAATGCGATGCGAGAAAATAAACAAAGTAAAACAAGTGCGATGCGAGAAAATAAACAAATTAAAGAAAGTGCGAGGAAATAAGTGTGATAAATGCGGAAACTAAAATAGAAACCTGCTCCAAACGGAGGGCTTTAAAGAAACTAGACTGGAAGGTAAATTTGATTGAAATAAAGGAAACTTAAATTAAAATGGCGACAAGATTGTAAAGTGCTCCAAACATGATTACAGACTCAATGACTCGTGAGATAATTCTTCGATGTGAAGAGATTACCGCTTACAATTGGACAATATATGGCTTAAGTCAACGCAACTAAGCTTGGATGAAGAAGAAGAACTGAACTCACTTACATTTATAGGCCTAGTAGGATTTTGGAAATCACAAGAATGCCCTCCAACTTCTTTTGAGCGAGAATCGAATTTGCAAAGGTGGCTCCCGCCATGGGGGTCTAGTGGCTGCCATGCTCCAAAAATGAAGAAGTAGTGGAGAAAGTGGTAGTTGGTAGTTGGCTGAAGTTGGCATCCTCATGGCTGACCCTATGGCGGGCTCCATGGTGGAAGCCACGAGTGCAAAAACTCCAAAATCTTGATATTTAGCTCATTTTTCTTCATTTCTTCAAGCAAGGCTTAGGAAAGACAAAAAAACTGAAAACAAAATAAAATGCAAACATAACACAAGAAAATAACAATAAGAACCTAATAAACATGTGTGAATCGAGTCAAATATGCAATGCGATTCAGTGTTATTAAATTCTCCCACACTTAGACCTTTTCTTGTCCTCAAGCAAAAACTCTGTATAGCTCAGCAAAGAGAAACAATATTATCAAACGATTTGGGCAAAAAGGGCTTATAAGTTTAAAGCAGGATGTAATGATAAGTACTAGCCAGGTGAACCAAAGGTATCGTGACAACACATTCTGCAAGAATACAAACACAAACATCGATTCTATACAAATTGTTCCATTCAAAACCATCACACTTAGGCCTAATTTTCAAATCTTTTTTCATTCAGGCGCAATCACATTAAGCCCGTTATGTTGCACATACTCATAGAAGAATGACCGATTAGTGACTCTGATCATAAGCACGGGGTTCTGGTACATAAGTTGGAAACCCATCAAATTACCCAATTGTGGTTGTGGGGGATCGAGTCGTAACCTGCCCTACCAAGTCCAGCACCAGAAACCTCTGAATCAACCAACAATGAGAAAAATTATTTTCTTTTATTCTTTTTGCAATTTCTCACAACCCCTTTTTAGGTTAAGTGACTTTGTGAGGGTCACCTATCCAGGAGTTGTAGCATATGAATCATGAAAGCACAACAAAAATAATTTGGATCACTCACTTATATTCATCGGTCTCCTACGTAGAGCATGCTTAAGCCAGAGCTGACTGCTAGAATAAACTACTAAAGATGAAGGTTAAGGCCATAGCATAAGGTTATCAAGATCGATTCCTATAATTACGAAGCTTATGGTGTCGAAACAATACCGATTTTTCGAAAGGACTTCCCAAGTTATCTACATCCTATCTTAAACCTGTCTTAAGCCCAAAATTTTTCAAAGGATACTGTTTTATTTTGTCAAATTTTTTTGGTAGGGCTAAGGAATGGGGAAAATAGAAATACACCATACAAATGACTCGGCAAGCACATGAATTATATTGAAACAAACAAAGCAAGGCAAATAAACTGAAAAAGAAATAAATACTTAAAAATAAAGAAAAGGAAAAGCAATAAAATATCCTTCCATACTTATATCGAATATTGTCCCCAATGTTTCGAAATAAAATATAGAAAGAGTAACCTGGATGTATCTAGGGGCGGCCACTGGTGCCCTCGCCATCTTGCTGATGCCTAGGGTGATGAGACTTGTTGCAACGACGACCATTCCGGGAAGAGGCTAGCTGCTCCACTCTGGCTGATAGAGCGGCTTGAGAACTCCGAACCTGTCGAAGGTTCCCTAATAGGGAACACTGAGTGGACTCCATGAGTGTAAAGTACCTCTCAAAATAGCCCTGCTGACGCTGCTGCTCAGTACTGATCACAAGCTGTGATTGCATGATATTCTGAAGACATTGATTAGTATGTTGTTGAGAAGTTTGCATGAAGCTCATGTTGTCAGTCAGCTGCTATTGCAATGTGGTAAGCATGCCATCTCACCTCTCCTCTCGAGAAAGATGCTCTCGCCACATCTCCTCAGTGATGTAAAATCCAGGGGCAGCACCTGCAGAATTATGTGAAGAAGATGGTGCAGTGTGTGCTGGTGAATCATGGTGGGGTGACATATGTGGAACAAGAGACTGGTCTCTTCGTTCATACTCCTCATGAGTCTCATGTCCGTCCCCAAGAGGAACATTAGGGAGAAATGGTCCCCTAATAGGTGGAGCGGACAAATCATAAGTCCAGTTTCTCTCAAGCAGCACATCAGTCCTCCGGGAGAAACGTAAAGCGACACTGGTAATAGCCACACCATAGATCATGAGGTTAAAACCTCCCTCTTTCCTAACCTTTCATAATTTCATATCTTTCAAAAAATTTAAATTAATTATGCGGTTAGGTAGAGGTACCAAAGTGGCTAACTCAGTATCCAAGTTCAAAGCCCGGGAAATGGAGGTAATAAATCCTCTAAAAGAAATAAGCTCCCCTTTATCAAAGTGGAAGACATGTGTGCAAAAATAGTACAAGCCAATAAGTAATGGAAAACACGAATGGTTGGGTTATGGATCATTGAGGCAAGAATACCCTCAAAAGAAGAAATAGTGGAACTAGACAATATATCCCTAAAAGCAAATGCCTCAATCGACCAATCAAAATCCAAAGGGGTCTCACAGATAAGACCTTCCCCATGAGGCATGTCCAACAACTATGTTAAAGCATCGACAATGTACTCATATTCAACATTAAACATTCTAAATTTTACCGTATCGATCGTGCTAGCAGTGTTGGGACTGACGGTATAAATCAATGAACTTAAAAATTCTTTGGTCAACCTCTCATAGGGAGGTTCTCTCCTAGAAAAAATATCGTGCAATCCTAAAGTGTCTAACATGTGGAAAACACTGTGATAAATTCCTAAAGTGTACAAACAGTCAATATTGATATACCTTGTCAGAGTAATTTCTTATGTCTGTAACTTCTCGAGAATTGTTCTCTACCTCGATCCTGGTTTTCCATCACGAAGAAAAAATCCATCGAACTCCATTGTTTCCATTGTTGGTGAAAGAGGAGAAAAATGGGTTTTTATGGAAAGAAGGTGAAAATGGTGGTTTGTGGATTTTTAATGAGGGAAATGAAGTAGTGGAATATTAGTGGGGTTGTGAATAAATGGGAAAGTTATGAACTTTTAGTGGGTTTTGATGGAGGTTTTGGAGAGGAAAAAATGGAGTTTTTGGGGTTGGAAGATGAAAAATGGTGTTTTTGGTGGTTCTTCCCCATAAAAGGTACAGACCTAATGGCGGGCGCCATGAGGGTTATGGAGGGCACCATGTGTGCAAAATCTGGATGGGCCAGATTTTGAATTTTTGCTCATGGGCCTTGTACTTTTCACGGGGGGAG